AGTTCAATGAAACTTCAACTTCAACTCAACTCAACTCAACTCAACTCAACCCCCACTTTGAAAACGGACATTATCCATAAAACGCAACAAGATGTGTCCTCCATCGCACTGTGAAATACACCAGAGCAAGTACCCTAACGGGTACCGCGTGCCTCAGAGATGATAAAAGCGGCCACCTGCTCATCTCGAGAGGTAAACAGATGACTGGGGTATGAGCTATTGAACGATGGCAGTTGATGGATGTGACAGGAACCCGGTCATACTTCATCCCACTTTATCACCGTGGAGCCGAACAACACGTTCACGGGATCGTAAGAACAGGCTGTCAGGCGTGCTTGGTGTGTTGGCTGGGGCTGTTCACACCCACCACACAGTCCTTTCTGAGCTGAAGTATGCACATTTCAAGCAGAACACCGCTGTGTTCAGCAGAACACCCGCAGGGTGGAACACTGGACACAGTGAACCCTGAGCAGCTCCATGACGTGATTCTTGTGCTGGAGGTGTCAGCACCCGGGAGATGCCAACACACTTCCTGCAGCGTGGAAACGACTTTCTATCAATTGAACTCTTCTTGGTCCTGTTTACTTATTGTCTTATGCCATGGGTTGACTGGGGACATACGGGTAAATGAGAACATTCTCCGTGTAGTACCATGTCTTGAAATAACTATAATTCCATTACTATGAAAATGCGCCGCTTAACTATATTTAACTCAGTCAGAATGTGCGCAATACTGAGCCTTCAGCCGAAGGCCTCCACTAATTTTAAGTATTTTTGCATTATGCATAGGTACAATTAATTGCGTCATATAATCAATGCTGATGTTCGTTTCTAAGTTATGTTGCTCGTTACCTTTTGTCGGGATGATTGAACGGAAGGGGAAACCCTCAATTTCGCTCGAAGTATGTAATTTCGCTCTTGCGATGCACAATTTAAAATTCATAATTTCCTTCGGATAAAAGAGTGGCAGTTCTACTTCAGTCGGGCCTCCGCTCGAAGGCAGATTGCCTTACTGCTCGAGTATGGCGACAGAGGCTGTCACCTGTCGGTCGGCTGACAGAGTATCAGTCACCACCATCCGTCACCCGTCAACAACACTTGTCGGCACCTGTCACAAGTAGACGGCAATCCTTGAACGCTCCGCTAAGCGCAATGCAGTGGTGCGCTCTTCTGCCGGATAGCTACTCTGATAAGGCGACGCTCTAGATATGTCCGCGTTCCACCTCATCTGTCTGTTTCTTCGAAGTTTTAAATCCGGTGCTCAACACCCATCCCTCAGAGTTGTCGTAGCAGCCCGTTCGTTTTGCTCGGCGTTTCTAGCCGGCTCAACTGGTTCGCCGATGGATCGGCACTTCTAGTGATTGATGAGGAGGCCTCCGTTCTGCGGACGTAGGGTGCTGACGGCGCAGGGCGGCCGGGGAGTGGCACCGGTCGGAAGTCGGCGATTAGCGCCCGGGCGATGGCTATCGCTTCGGGTCGTCACGCTAGTCCCCGCTCTGTGGCGGCGAAATAGTGCAGGCTGACGGCGGTGGTTGTGGACGTCGTGGCGGCGATGGTGGTAGCAACGGGAGTCTGACGTGACTGTTGGACATTGGTCTGGCGATGGCGGTTGGTGAGCCTCGCGAGTCTATGCGTTGGCGCCATGCTAGGCAGGCGAGCAGCCGCGGTCAGTGATGGTCCCCGCTGATAGTGGGCTCCAAACTGGTGTCCATGTCATGTCGATTTTCCGCCTTGGCACACCGCCACTGACGTGAGAACCAACACGCGCTGGCATAACGTCCACCTGCAGGGATCATAAGACAACCACGCGATCCTCCACGAGCAGAAATGTCAACGTGAACTTGAAGGACTACAGGATTGAAGAGACTATTAGTAGCCAGTAAAACATGTCGGTCAGCTTCCGCCTAATTAAAAATGTATGCTTCTTATCGCGACGCGCAACAGCGCATGACGTCGACACTGAAATAGCGTGATGTAGGTGTGCGCCGCAGAGGGGCGGAACGTCCAACTTCCGGATTTCGGAACACTACTCCATTCAGTTGTGATGCGAGAGCATTTCAATGCCTCTCGCTGTCGCTTTATTATCGCATGCCTCCCACCCATCTCTACTTGCCAGTCATGTGCCATAGTTTGCTAGCACGTAACGCTAACCGCATTTCCCATGTATGGGATGTAAATTGTCGCCATATCTCGGCTTCAGTCTTGACTGATGCACCTGACGTACGGACCGCCCACCAGCTGATCGGCTGGGCGGGTCCGGGCGGGGGCGGGGGCGGCATTCCTGGCAGGGACGCACGTCGCGCCTCCCGCTGCGGCCGTCATGTTTTATTTATCGATGCCGACGGGGCGCCGACCCGGCCGACCCGCTTCCGCCGTCGGCCGCCCGGTCTGCCTTTGGTTCCACCGCCCGCCCGCCGCCGCCGCCGCCGCCCACCCGCTTTTGGTTCCACGGCCCGCCGCCGCCCGCCCGCCCGCCCGCCTTCGGTTCCGCCGCCCGCTGCTGCCCGCCCGGCTCTCGCTTGGTTCCGCTGGCCGGCTGGGCCGCTCATTAGCCCGGGCGGTGCCAGACAAATGGTGCCAGTCCCTTCACACGGTACGGCGCTCGGTGGAGTCGATCGGCCGCGAGCGTCTAAGTTGTAAGGGAGGTGTGGAAGTCTAGTCCCAAGGGACTCGCATGTCGACGCTGACCACTGCATTGCGACAGTTTTATTGGTTCAGGGGGACCGTGCCCCAGGGTCTATAGTGCCCACCAGCCTTGGGAGCCATAAGATCGGCAGTGACTGACAATGTATGATCGGCATGCCACCTGTGGGTGGCAACAGTCGGTGGGTATGTAAACAGTTCGATAGTTCCTTCATTAATATGGATCAAACGACTCGCCAACTCTCATTTGTTTTCGTTCCCATCCTGCCTAGTTCCATCAATCCTCCAATTTGTTGTCGACAAGCGTGGTTTTCTCTTCACTCATCTAGTCCCCGGAGCAGTCCCCCCTCCTTCCCCTGGCCTTACCCCTCCCGGTAAGCTTCACCCCTTCTCCCCCCAAGTGTCGCCCGGCGCTAATTGGTCTAATAACGTCACGTGACGCTCGTTACACGTCACGTCGCTCGTGACACTCTCCTAGCACGGACGACTTCTAATGAGGGTGGCTAAAGGGATCGACCCTCTCCCCCTGGCCCGCCGTTGCCCGTTATACAGACCCGCCTGGGTGCGATTTGGGAACACGCGCGCACGCCCCTAACGAGCTCCTAAAGTGGCTCCTATCGATCGTCGGGTCGACGAAGGGGCTGTCCTGAGGCGGACGGTCCAGCGCCGCTGTTCATATACGCCGTGGCATGGTGTGGTGTCCTGCATGCAGTTAATTCTCGCTGCTCTAGTGCATTTGTGGCACGACGGCCGGCCCTAAATTGGCTCGCTGACCGCTGGAATTTAGCCGGTCCGCGATGGCCGCCAGGGAGCCATGCATCAGTCGGCGACGCGACTATTCACGGCTTCATTATAGAGCGGAAGACCGCGCCGTCGTGCTGGCGAGCGCCGTCGCCACCCCGCTGAGACCGCGCGGCGATCCTAGGTGGGGAGACACAGGGCCGACGGTATCGAGCCAGCATCGCGTGCATATGACGCCACGCCGCCAGCTTTGCTACGAAACCCTATTAAAACTTTAACGCTGTTGGCATAGTTGAAACCACTTTTAAGGATCGCTTTACAAGATAATTAATATAATCAGCGTGAGATGCGAGCCCGGCCATCCATCTCGCCCTCCAAGGCGGCGAGATTGTTTTAGGACCTCCCGACGCGCGGCGCCGGGGGCAGTTTCGCTCTGCAGGCCGGACCGGCCGGCTGCGGCCGGCGCGGTCTGTCTGTCTCCCACGCAATGGCCGATTACCATAGCCATTATAGTTACGGCTCGCTTATTGAGCCATCGCTCGGCTCTTAATTGGCGGGCTGGGCCGTGCGCCGTCACTATAATCCGGCCTGCAAACCGGTCTCTGTGGAGCGGCCTGTGCTCGTCAGTGCCGGCTCCTCACCGCAGAACCCCGGCCGGCGCGGCGGGTCGGCGGTCCCCTCTGAACGGGTCTATCCCAGTCAGCCGGACCCGCGCGGCCGGCGGAGCATCTGAGCCCGGTTTTAATTAGTGCCGGCACGAAGCAGAGGACGGCGTGGGGAAAAGACTGAATGGCCGGCGCGATGTGGAAAAGATTCGTACGTGAGGTGGGTGATGATGAGGGTGCGGTGCGAGGATGACCACTGGGAAGGTCGCCTAAGGACGGAGAGGGTGAGGATTTGGTACAGAAGACGTGGGAGGGATTGTGGTCAGACTATTATTGTTGGATGAAAGAAGGGCTAGCTGATCCGTGGGGAAGAGAATGCAGAATGCTGCGCGATACAACGTAGACATCGGCTTGACGTAGACGTCCTGCCTTATCGAAGTTCGAGTGATGTGGTGCAACCCTTAGCAGCGCCTCGTTTCTACCAAGCAACAGCAACTGTCACCACCCATCTCACCCGTCACCATCCATCACCACCTATCACCACCCGTCACCAGTCTATCACCAGACACCATCCTCTGACCCACCGCACGAAGGCCGTCCCATCCTTTCAACACTGCCGTGCAGTTTATGGTGCTGTGTTGTGGGGCCATCGTTGTTAGCATGCGCTGGCACGTGCGCTAGCGGTGAGGGTGCGTCTTTACACTCCCGCTCCCCCGTCTACTGGTGCTGTGTGTGTCTGACAACTCGAATGTTGTGGTTTCTGCTGGTGCTGCTGCAGAAGCGCTAACCCTTGACCGCCGACCGCTGAATTGTTGTGCAATGGGCATTCGACAATGACACCCAATATAACAGCGGGCTTTGACAGACTATGGGCGAGCCGGCCAGTGCCGATGGACATAAGACATTTATGTCCGAGTGTTCTGTATTTCATGTTTGGCTTCTTAGTGCTCATGCTTTCTCCGTAGGTATTCATTCTCTGTATTTATCCCACCTGTTTTCTTTTCGTTGCAGAGCCGGACGGAATGGCGTCATCAGCTCTCGGGTCATCGGAGGGTCAGGGCGGCCGACCCCGTCTGGGTGACCTGAGGTCACACATCACCTGTGTCCTCTGTGCTGGGTACTTCATCGATGCCACCACCATCGTCGAATGTCTGCACACATGTGAGTACTGATGCTGCCAAGGATTCTTGGGTTTCGAGTCGCGGTTCCTCGATGTTCTTCTTCAAATGTGCTTGTTTTAGTCTTTTCTTTTTAAAGTCCTCACTCCTGGAAATGAAGCTGAAGCATGGACTGCCTTTGCCATATATAACATAAAACCCTTTTTAATTCAAACCATGTCTCACATCCAACAATTTCCATCTCTTTCTCCTTCTCATCTCATTTCCGTTGCTGAGGGCCGACCCTTTCCATTCTGTTTCTATCCTGTTTCCATCCAGTTTCCGTTCAGTTTCCGCCCCGTCTTCACCCGTTCCCCTCCTACATTTCAGTACGCTCACCGTCGTGCCGTCGCCGGCGACTGTCCCCGTCGTTCTGCCGTCCCGTCGCTGCCGTCGTTCTGGGGTCGTCGGCGGCACGGCTCGGCGAGCCGGGCCGGCGGCGGCGGCGTATCGATCCCACCAGCTGAAATGAATGGGCGCAGTGCCCGCTGACCTCAAGGTCAGGCCGGGCACTGCCGCTGGGTCGACGGCCCGGTCGGTACCCCAAACGACCCCGGCCAGAGAGAGAGAGGGAGAGAGGGTGAGAGAGAGGCCGGCGGGGAGCAGACGTGCCGCTGAGAAGTGAGAGAAAGTTCTGAGCTGAGGGAGATTGTTTGCGGTGGTACGGAGGGTGTGGAGGAGACGCACTGTGTGCATTGTTTGCAACAGCCTGCTGCTGGGGTCAGGTCACGCTTTGTTGTGGCTCTGACAAAGAAGTTAGTCGTGTTCTTGCTTCAAAGTTGTTAGCTGCTAGCTGTCTTGCGCACCGGTGAAAAAGTGAAACATAAACGGTGGGGAGGGATGCCTGACAGCCGCGTGCTAAAAATCTCACCCCATCCTAATGGTGATTTATAGGGCGGCAGCTGCAGCAATGTTTGCAGATCGCTCCTCAGCAGCACTCTCAGGCCCGGTGTAATGGTGGGCGCACACACGAGCGCGTCCAGCCGCGCCTGTTATCATTGGCCACACTGGGCGCCCTCGCGCCTACAGCGGCAAACGGCGCCTCCCTGGGCGCCCCGGCCGGCGCGCACGTGACCGGCCGCGGCACGTGTCGGCACGTGGCGCCGCCGTCCGGCACGTGACGTGTCATTAATGTAAACGGTCGCAATTGGTTTTGATGGTGATCGGTGCGGCGGTGCGCACGCTGCAAACCGAGGGAGGAGACCACGTGCGGCGGGCGCGTGCAGAGACAATGGTCCGGTGAGGGCGGTAGACGGCGGGGAGACGGTCCGGAGCACCGAACTGCTCAGGTGTGGCCGTCAGCTGATGGTAGTCAGCTGATGGTGTCCTGATGAGGTCGTGCGCGGCCTAGTGTGGTGAATAATGACTACCGAGGGTCTAAGATTGGAAGTAAATGGCCTCACGGATGCCAGAGGCGAAATGGAATGAATGGTGTTAAATACTAAGGACGATGCGCATTTGCGCCTTGCGATGGTATCTAGCAGTCTGTTTTTGAGACAGCTTGAATTTGATATGATGCGTGCGTATATATGTACGGACCTAAGAGTCACGGGAAAGCAAATTTGTTCTTTCAGTTATTCAGTAATGCAATTAAGTCAGTTTTTACTGTGGTGAAATTCCGTAGGACCAGCGTACCTACTTCAACTGGAACTGGGTATTTGGTGCACTGCAGCAGGAGCTAACTAACCGGAATTTCCTTTTTATTTCAGTTTGCCGGTCGTGTATATTACGTCATCTGGAGGCAAGCAGCTATTGTCCCATCTGTGACGTCATGATCCACAGAACCAAGGGGTCGTCTAGTCTCAGGTAAGTAAAATGAGACTGTCTACGTGCATGAGCCATGAAATGCCCCGTGTCGCCCGTTTTTAGTGAAGAGCCTCGAAGAAATAGTAGATTGATTATGTACGTATACTTTACCTGCCGTCGTATTATTTGATAAAAGTTAAAACAGTTTCTAAAAAATGTTAAAAAGTTAAACCATTCTCTGCCCTCGGCGCTGCTGTAGCTCTGACTCTGGTTTCCACGGCTCCCCGCCTGTGAACGTGGACCAAGGTTCCGTGCCTGCCTGGTGTTATAATCCCCTCCCCGAACCGCCACGCCGCCTCGGTTTGTTTGTTATGAAACCGCGCCGGCCGCCGGGGAGCCGCCGCAGTCACATTATATCTTTCCGGTGTGGTGATTCCAGCCGCAAATTGGCCAGTTGCGGTCTAGCGCCGCCGCTACCGTCGGCCGTCGGGCTCGACGCCATGGGACACGCTGTATTGAATTGTTTTGTTGACGATATGGCTGTGGTGATAGTGAAGCGGTCAATTATGTCCTGGTTGCCGGTCGGCCTGCTGGTCATGCGATGTGTTTCCGCTCAGTGTTTCTTAAAAGTCAACCTGATCGTTAAGAAGTTCTTTGGTCACTTTCGGTTAGAAATACACTCAGTCCAGTTCAGTTCCACGACGTTATTGCCCGCTTGGCTTATTCAACGTCTCTTCTCATTCTCAGGGCCGATCGCATTCTTCAAACAATGGTTTACAAGCTGGTGCCAGGCCTTTTCAGTCATGAAATGAAGATGAGAAGAGACTTCTACGACATGAAACCCTATGCAGGTAAGCAATTCTCCGCAACTTTTGCCGATGTCTACGCTACTTTGTTCTATAGCTGGGCAGGTGTATCAGAACTGTTTTCGGAAGTACACTGTCAACGAATAAAGCCAACGATGGATTTCACCAGGTCATATCTGATGAAGAGGGCCTTTATGGGAGTGTCAATCATTTTGATCAGGTGACGAGTCATGCACGCATGTTGCTTGCAGTTAATTATCTTGACGCTAATCGGTGGCAGGTGGGGCCACCCACGACTTCTGGCACTCACACCCTTCAGATGGCTATCTCACCAATGGCCAATTTATGAGCTGTCGGAACAGACTGAGGCCTCGGAATGGCGACCGGAGGCTGCACGGGGGGCTGCCGTCTGTGTTGAATGTCCTGCCTACGCCAAAGGTTGACGGCGTCTATGTTGAAAAGTATTTTTAGTACGGTCAGCTACCTAAAAACCGCGAGAATTGATAATTGCCTCGTTTGCATTATGTTGATCCGATAACTTACTACTAGCATGGTAGTGTGATAACTCCATTGTTATCAGAGCACCGGAACTAATGCAATTAAATAATAACGAAAACTTTTAAATCCGGCTTCATTCTGCAATATTTGCTTTATAAAGACTGGATCAACATCATCTCTAAAAGGGATTGCATCTCAGAGAACACGGAGTATTTCAAGAGACGGTTCAGATTGTTACGATGGCAGATAGCAGTATGACACGGCCTCAACAATGGGAACTCTTCATTTAGCTAATTAGTAGGGATTTCCGTGTGCTGACGCATCGCGTGGAACGGGTCGGGCACCTCTGAAGCTCAGTGGGCCTTGCCAGCGATGTGGCTATGACAGTATGACAGTGGCTGGTTATGAGTTATGACAGTATGAAGGTCATCCCATGACAGCGTGACTGTGACAGCGGCTGGCCGCAGGGTTGGCACTGCCCATTACCCACTGCCCGGGTTTTTTGGGTTTTTCTATGGGTTTTTCATCGAAATAACCCACTCCGGGTTTTTTACCAAAAAAGGTGTTCTTGAACTGCCGCAAGAAACCAGGTTTGTGTATCTTCAAGGGAGTGAACCGTAAACCAAAAGTGTCATCTATGGACTGTGAACCCATTGCAGCGGCGCCAGGACTGCAGGGCGCAGTCGGCGTCCGATGGCGGCCGGACGGGTCCTATGGCGGCGCCGGTCATCTGATGATCGCGGCGCTGGGGCGCGGCGTCCATGAGCTGATGCAGTCCTGAGGACCAGCCCATCACGCGAGGAGTGTTGTGTGTCCTTCTTCACCGCTTTCAGTGTTGTAGCTGCAATATCCTGAAACATGGCGGCGTATCGACCCGGCAGGAGCAAAGCCAAGGAATGGGACTTGTTTGAAGAGATTGAAGACCCTAATAAAGTGAGATGCAAACAGTGCGAGACGGAGGTGAGCAAGAAGATCGAGAGGGTGCGAGTGCATCTCGAAAAGTGTCGCAATTCAAAGAGGCGGAGGGACGACGCTGAAGATGAGCAGGACGTGGAAGAGCCCACCACCGCACCCAAGCTGGACAAATGGGTGGTTCGCACGACAGGCGCAATGAAGAAAAAACTGGTCGAGCAGTACGCCCGTGGCATATATGCGGGTAATATCGCTTTCAATGCGGCTGACAACCCTCAGATGCGAAATTTCATCGAAATGACACGTGGAGGGGCGTATGTCGCACCGGGACGTAAAGAACTGGCAGGTCATCTTCTGGACACAGTGTCGGATGAGTGCGAAGGGAAGCTACGTCAGCAAATAGTAGGAAAAAACGTAATTCTGGTTCAAGACGGCTGGTCCAATGTCCAGAACCAGCCAGTGATAGGATCCTGTCTCCATACTGGAGATAAATCGTACTTTGTCGGTGCCGTCGACACAGGCACAAACAAGAAGACAGCACAGTGCATCGCCCAGCTTGCTGACGAGGAGATCAAGCGGTGCGAGAAAGAGTACGGATGCACTGTGGTGGGCTACATCAGCGACAACGAAGCGAAGATGGTAGCGGTGAGGAAGATTCTGGAAGAGCTTCGACCAGGATTCATCACGCTTGGGTGCGCAGCACACTACGTCAATCTCGCGCTGCAGGAAATCTCTCCCAAGCCTCTCATAGGCCAGATCGTTGAAGTGCAGAAGTACTTCCGGAATCATCACCTTCCAGCGGCTTGGCTAGCTGAGAAGCCAACATCTGTGAAACCACAGCTGCCAAACGAAACGCGCTGGTTGAGCCATGAAGAGTGCGTCAAGACATACGTGCGCAACTACCCTCACTATGTGAATATCGCGACAGAGCACGAGGAAGAAATTGACGACAAAGTTAAAAGGATCGTTGAAAACAGTGGCGTGTACCGGTCAGCTACACACCTGGAGAAACAGCTGATCGCAGTAGCAGCAGCACTGAACCGACTGCAGTCTGATGCATGCTGTGCGGCTGAGGGCGTGGATGTGTGGATGCAGCTACTAGCCAACTCAGAACTGGAGTCTCACAGACCTGCCATCCAGAAGAGGTTTCAGCAATGGCTGAAACCAGTGCATCTGGTAGCTTACAAGCTACACCCTGTGTATAGGGGCGAGAAGCTGTCAGCTAAGCAGGAAGATGAAGTCCACACGTGGCTGGAGGGGCGGAACCCCGCGTTCGTTGGTCCACTGCTCCTGTTTGAAGCGAAGGATCCCAAACTGCCCAAGGCATTGTTTAACGAAACGTCAACTTCAACTGTAAAGCCCGGTGCCTGGTGGAGAATCCTGTGCAACAGGATGAAGAAGTCAGAGAGTGCAGATGCGGTGCCAGAGGAGTTCACTCAGCTCATGGAGCAGGTCCAGTCGGTGCCGTGCAGCTCTGCCAGCATCGAGAGGTCCTTCTCTACCCTGGGAAACGTTCACAGTAAGATACGGAACCGACTGGGAGTGCAAAAGGCAGCGAAGTGCTGGCCAAGTGCTACTCGCTCCTAAAAAGCGACGAGGAGTGGTGTTGGTGATGATGAGGGAAAGGACGTGTGAACAAACGTGCTGCGTAGCCAAGTGTGCAAACGTTGAGCACTCGACTATAATCCAGCAGCTTCCATTGCTTTAAATAGTTAACGAGTTCAGAAGTAATCGAAACTCGTTCTAGTTCAGAAGTTACATCATCTGATGGATGCAAAAGTGTGATTATTAATTCATTGCAGCCTCAATCTATTCTCTGTTGACGATTGTTCTCTCATCACAAAATGTACTGAAGTAATGAGGCTGTTAATAAAGGTTGTAGAAAGAACGATGATCTTTACTTGCAGTGCAGATTCAACAACATTGTTTACTGTCACGGTAGGTGTCATATTGTGACGCGAACACATATTATGCTCAACGGCCCAACATACATGAAAAACCCAAAAAGCCCACAGAAAACCTGAATAAAACCCACTACCCAGTGGGTTTTAATGAAAAACCCGGGTTTTTTCCAACCCTGGCTGGCCGACATGTGCTGACGACAGTGGGTGTCTGACAGTGACTGGTAGCGACAGAGCCTATCCCGAGCGAATGACAGTGACCATGGCAGCATGACAGAGCCTGAACAATGCCGGGGACAGTGACCGGCGGGCGGCGGTGACAGTGAGTGACAGCGAAGGCGGCTGTTGATGACAGAGCCTATGCCTGCCCTGGGCCCGTGACAGTGGCTGTGACAGTATAACAGCGCCTGGCCTCCCCTGCCGGTGACAGTGGCTCTAACACGGTGACTGACACTGTGACAGCGGCTGACGGTGACAGCGACCGTTCGTCTCCGGTCGATGACAGTAGTTGTGACAGTAGCAGCCGGTGACAGTGACAGCGACTGTGACAGCGGCTGACGGTGACACCGACCGGTCGTCCCGTGCTCCCCGGGCCGTCCGATCAATACTCCGATACGGGACCAGGGCCAGCACTAGCAGCCGCGCTGTAGTGGTCCAGCCAACCTGGTGAAGCCAGGAGATTGGTCGCAGTGGGAGGCGGTACAGAGGCTGTTCCTATCCACCGCTCGTATGCAGAATGAATGCTTCTTGTGGGTTGGTCAGGCGTGGCTGGGATTCGACCATCGTTGACTGCCCAACTCAATGTTGCTGCAAAACTTCTTATCGGAATCCTTAGAAAATGACCAGACTTACGCCTACGCAGCCAACAAGGCGTCGTTTATCGAATGTCCCGATCCCGACCCAAACTGAGGTGTGTTCTATCTGTTTCCAGACCCGGAGCTGCCGAGCTGGGCCAAGGGAGACGTTTCCTCGTACGTGCCGCACGTCTTCACCCCCGACGAGCCCCTCCAGCTGCGACTGGCCATGTTCGACGCTGAGAGCAGGTACGTCGCGATTCTCGAAGTAGTGTCTCTATGGACTCCATACTAGGTTGTCCGGCTTATCAGTTTTTAACTGTCACATTGGCGGTGGGAGTGGTGAGGGGGAGCTCGTCGATCGCCACCTTTATGGCGTCATTATTACACCGCCGTATAGTTCTGGGAAGCCGATGGCGGCGGTCCGACAATAAAGACGGGTGGCATTAGCGGGCTGATTGCTGCTCGCCTAATGGGGCGGTAAAAATGTGCTGTGTGGCGGTACAAGGTGGACTTCTACACCTGGCTACTGACCGTGAATAGCTACTGTTAAGGGTTTCCACTGTCCATCTCTGTAAACTTTTGCTGTTGTTAATATCATCTAGAATTCAGATCCACCCATTTGGTGTTCTCGATTTCCTATTTATTTGATAGCTGATCAACTTTTCGACCGAATTCTTTTTCCTCAACGTTATGAAATTTCCGAAAATAAACTGGCATTGGACGCCAGAATATTTAGCAGTTACTGATATTGTCGTTTTCTTCAGGGACGACGAAGAGGCCAAGCAGCAGCGAAGTACCTCCGGAGTACCTCCGGTCCGGTACCTGCGCTGCCAGGCCGGTACACCCCTCACCGTGCTGCAGAAGCTCATCCGCAACAAGTTTCAATTACCACCTAACGTTCAGGTGAGTCCCTTTGAAAGGTCGCGAGCTTTTACTGAAAACATGCCAGCTGTCGCCAACACACCGATATTATTTCCTAACTTAAACAATACTTCACATGAACAAAATCATTCACCTTCTTCGCGCTGGTTATTGTCGATCTCCGACGGCTTCCTCACGACCCGCGTGGCCGTTTGTTCGGCGCTCATCATTAGCGATTTCACGGTGGACCAAACCGTGGCCACATTCCGAGCCGGGCGTGCAGCCGGTCTTTGATCCTGGACGTGTGTGATGCGGCGCGACTGACGCGGCGATGTGTGGCGCGCTGTCGACAGGTGCAGCTCATTCACGGCCGTCACGTCCTGCCCGACGACATCAGCCTGATGGACGTCGGCTACCTGCACCGGCCGCCGCAGGTACGGGTCATTCATACACTGATCAATGAAGTGCTTATTCACCAATACATGTTGATTCAGTTTTGTGTATTTTGTGCATTTTAGTCCACACCTCGAGAGGTGTTTTACACAGTGCGCTGGGTATTCCATTGTAACTCACATATACTACCAAACCACCTTCACACTTACAATGCATGCGAATCCATCCTCCAAATCCTCATATTCCTCATATTGTCAGTACAGAAGAATGCCCTTTCCACCTTTTCCATCCCCTCAGCAGAGTGTCCCACCCGTGGCGCGCGTCCTCTCCCCCCCCCCCCCTCGGAGGGCGGACCAGGGACATTCCGACCGGTCATCTTCCATCCGTCATGCGCCGGCGACTGGCGCTCGAGCGCGAACGGCCATCGCCTCGGCGGCCAGCGTCTCGGCTGCAAGTCAGCGTGGCAATCAGTCGCCGCCGTGCGCGTGTCACGGCACCGCGGGCGGCCCCTTTCATGCCGGGCCGACTGGCTGTCGAAAAGACAGCGCCGCGCCGAGTCGCGCTACGCCCCTGGCGGCTCGTAACTCGGTGTGGAGAAATGCTAAATTTTCTTGTTATGCCCATGTGAATGAGGTGCTATTTGTAATTCTGGGGATCGATTGCAGGTTGAAAATGTATGACAGTTTTGCAATTCATAATTAAGAATGGGTCTGCTCAGCTTGGAGATACCATTCATATCCTTGCGCCTATTAATTTTGAGAATTTGTATTGGCCAGTAGATGCATAAGTAAGTCACTAAGCGTAATACAATGGCAGTTGAGTATCATTAAAATACAAGGCATTCGCGTTGGAATTTCACTAGAGCCATCAGCACGCTTCCAAAGGAACTAGCCTCCTGCACATTTATCGCGGTTCCTTTCAACCCACAGTCACCGCATTCGCAGTCCGCACACGTACCGCGGAGCCCAGCCGTCAAGTGACCAGCCTTGTCCTAACAGACGGGGTGCGAACAATGCGCCGTGAGAACTGACGGCGGCGGGGCCGAGCGGCGGGCCGTGTGGACCCTGGCGGGGTGCCGGGATTCCCACGCCGTGATGGTAGACGCCGCCGCCGACCGGTCCCACCCGAACCTCACCTGGTTCCGCCCTGTTCGCAGGACGCGCCGGTCCGCCTGGAGTACCGCCTCGTGAGAAAACGACCGGCGCCTTCGGTCACGCACGCCGAGACAGCGGCAGTGTCGCAGGATAGTGAAACGAAGTCAGAGTCAAAAGCGGTGGCATCGCCTGCGTCGACGTCAGCGTCAACAGAAGCTGTTTCTGGGCCGGATGTGTCAACGCCAGCAGCGATCTCGTCTGAGGCATCTGTCCCGGAGACTTCTGCGAAAGAGTCAGCTCCTGAATCGCCCCCGGCTACTTCCGAGCCACCGGCCAAGCGGCGCCGGACCGACGAACATCGGCCGCGACAGCCGGTCGTGGTCCTCGAACGGCTGTTCGACGCTGACGACGACGAGCCGACGTCGCCGAAAGAGGTGGAAGACATCATCGCTAGTCTCGATGCTGAAGAAGAGGCTCTTCACGGCGTGTCCGCGTCTTCACCCGCAGGATCTGGTGTTGCTGGAGACGAAAGCGTCGCCCAGAATCCGTCTCCTCAGCCAGGTCCTTCCGCCGAGGCTTGTGAAAGTCCCGCGGCCGAACAGCGTTCCAGCGAGCCCGATCGCGATGACGGCTGTCCGTCTGGAAGTGACATGGCCTGCGAGCCGAGCGTGTCGAAAGACGAGCCTGGGTCGGGTGGTGACGAGTGCACAGCAGGTGGTGAGGGCTGTGTTGGTCATGCTGGTGCTAGTGAGGTTGTGGGCACTGGAAGTGTCGACGGATGCAATGATGAACTGTGCAATGATGCGCCTGCAATACTTGGTGGGAATGGAGGGGATAACATTGATGCCTCTGCAACGGCAGTGTCTTGTGCAGATAGTGCGGCAGTTGGGAGCACATCCTCCGAGTTAACAGTCGGTGCTGAAATCAGCACCACTACCGAGCCTGATACTGGAGATGTGTGCGGGGGAGAGCCAAAGAGCAGTGATCCAGACGACGACTCGAACTGCGACGAGGACGCAGCGTCGGAGTGTTGCCTTGTTGTAGACGAGGAGGCTTTGTCAGTGTCAATGGATACAGCGGAGGCAGAGGAACGTTCATCCGTGGATGACACCCCACTTCCTTCCACTGATGCCTGCATGAGTAGCAGGGATGGGTCCCCACAGTCCGCTGAAGGAGCCACAAGTATGGACACATGTCCAAGCACGTCTAATCTCCCTGAGGCTGCACCCACTGCTGAACCAAAGGATAGCATGGAAGGACAGTCTGCAACTCCAGATCCTGAGCCCAGCTGCACCTCTGACACCCAGACTATGTTCTGCGGACCAGCCAAGCGTCCTGAGCCTCACGTTCCTTTTGAGTCCGAGACATCTCCGTCTCCAGATGCCCGCAAGGCTGACGTCGACAGTTTTGCATCGCCCAATAAGCCCGGTGGCAGCTGCACTGTACGAACCACATCGTCCGTATCATGTGGAACACAGGACATCGATAAAGTTAGTGGCGGCGCTCCAAAACCATCTCCCACCAAAGTCGATTGTTCTGTCCAAACAATGACACCTGAAGTTGACAAATATTCTGACTCAAGAGTAAACAATGCCGTGCAGCCTCAGAAAGACACTGACTGTCGAAAGCAGACAACCACTCAACCTTCTCAAACATCCCGAATAGGTGCTGGGACGTCACAACAAGAGCGAGGCATAAGGGATGAGGTGAAAGGAACGACTACAAAGTCAGCCAAAACACTTCAGAACAACATTTCTACAGCTTCTCACCCTGAGCTTGCCAGCAGGCTCACGCAGGCAGCAGGGGTTGATGCCGGACAGGGAACATTTTATGACAAAACAAAAGCGCATGCAGTGAATATCCTGAGAATACCCAATGCTCCAGCTCAGGGAGAAAAATTGCAAAAGAGTACCGAAACGGTTGCAAAAGTTGCCACACCCAACAAAGCCGCAGGACACAGTCCAGACAGTTCATCCATGCGTTGCGGTTCAACCAAGCATGCCAAAGCATCTGCCGATATCAAACATTTCTTCAAGGAAGTTCCCAGAAGCTCAAGTGGAGTTGCCAAATACCTGGAGAAGAACCACAAGCGGGTCCTGACCGGTTCGCCGCTGGACCTATCTGCGCGCGCCAGCAAAACTGCCGCTGATTCGACATCAATGGTCCCAAAACGTTCCGCCTCAAAATCACAGGCCCGCAAGCACAAGCCAGCAAAGGCTCAGGGAACCCAAACAATTCACTCCATCGTGAGAAACTTGTCACGTTCCGAGCATATCTCCCTCACGCCCATTCCTTCCGGTGCAGCCAAGCCCGCCAAGACTATCCCGCCACCGAAGCAAAAGCAGCAGCCCACATTCCATGAGCCTAACCCAGCATCCTTCCACTTCCCTGCCGGCATGGTTCCCCACGACTTTTACTCATCTCCTCTTCACGTCAACACGAGCATGGCCAGCCGCCTGAGCTACGACATGGCGATTCGGAACCTCCTGACGCTTTCCCACATGGCCATGGCCCAGGGTGGCATGGTCAGACCGCCGTCTCACATGTTCCCCACACATCCAATGTTCCCTCCGCTGCCCAAGGGTCACGAGTTCCATCCAATGTCGGACCCTTCCCTGCTTCGGCGTCAGTCCGAGGCTAGGATGGGGGCCTCCGCCAAGAAGGCGTCTCCGACAGCGGGCACCACGGCACCTCCGTTGCGAACTCCGACGGCACTGACGTCGGCATCAATCCAGCACATGGAAAACCTCACTAGGACCGTGGGCAAGAGTGACCCTGAAAGACACTCAGTCACTCTCACTCCTATCCCACCAAAGTAGTCAGGAAGTCTTAGATATGATGTTCTTCGACTGCTTGCCATTCATGTAATGCACTTGTGGAAGTGATGTTGTTCGTGGTTGCAAATGCTGTCGCATGCAGCTTGCCGGTATCGTAAGCAAGGTGATGCATTGCTGATTATCGACTTAATCAGAGAGCTGCTCCGTGACGTTACTTTAGGAGCTGATGTCATTGTTCACCGTCAGATCTCAGTCCTTTCTGTTTCTGCGACCGCAACAGCCACTAAGAACCGCTACCGATAGGCGTCAGCTTAGGCGGTTGTGTCAAAGTTCAACATTCAAAAGTTCAAATGTCTCACAAATGTGGCATGGATGTTTGTTTTTCGTGCATTGATGTCTTCCCAAAGAATGGTCAAAGGGTGTCATCGCAAATGTTGTGTCTGTGTTGTATGTACATAACTGCATTACATTTGACTAGTCGCAGTCGAGTTACACAAGTGTTTGTTCAGTGCGGTGCATAACTGTACGATGCGTGTTTATGAACAGAATAAACATTAAACAGTCATGCCCTTTAATGATGTTTGAATGCGATATAATTCCTAAAAAACTATCAATTGGGAGCAGAATAGCACAACGTATTGGTCATTGGTTTGCGCGCATTGGTCTGTTAGCTATGTCAGAACAGTTCCTTGCAAGGCTGGACTGGTATACGCTCTTGGCTTCGCTTCACCTTGCGTTTGATTTACGTTCGTGCTCATAGGAAGTTTCGTTTCCAACCTATGCTTACTTTCTTTTCACTACAAGCCACACTGATATGTAGCTTTTCTTTTTGAACGATCGCCGGCAAAAACATAAATACAATTGAAACCATCGAAGCATTTCTTCACTTCACCGAATCAACAACAGTTCTGTTGAATATTTCCTTTCAGGATTTACATAAGCTTGCTAATCCCGCTTTCACCATAGTCCCGCCGTTTGTCTAAGAAAACACACATCACGTATTGATAATTATCATGCCTCATGTATTTTACAGTCGCCCCTTTCCGAGTCCATAGTGATACCCACGTTTTAGTGAAATTGCTGACATTTCCTGTAACAAACATCTCTCTGATATTCGGCTGTTGTTTTATTTTTTACGCATTCTATTCAGATTGTCGATAGCCGGCCTCTTGTCTTTCGAGAAGGCTTGGAACATTTAAATGTCAATTGTCAATACCTAGAGACAAAATGCAACCCAGATGTTAGATGGATCATGGAACAACTTCATAACTTGCAAGTTTCAAGTTTCACAAAGACAAAACTTCTCACTTAACCCGCGCCCTGCTGGGGGGGGGGGGGTGTTTGAACACCCCCTTGTGGTTTTTCGCGAATATCTTTTTGGTACACCTTATCATACATCAATTCTACACATGTGAAAATTTCAGACCAAGAACATTCAAGGCAGGGGCGGATCCAGAAAATCTCCAAGGGAGGGGCCATTAGAAACCAGGAGCCCCCCCCCCATAATCCCACCTGTTGGAGGCCCCATCTTCCCACTTGTTGGCCCCCCCCCCCCCAAATAAAAAACTGCGTCTATTGAGCTTATCTAGCTGTTCAGGCAACATCTCAACATCTGTGCAGGCTTGGAGGCCCTCTGTGCAGGTTAGGAGGCCCTGTAAAAGTGGTCATCTCTGTGAGTATATGAGACCTCCAAGTTATGAAAAGCTTTACCAATCTTCTAACAAAGAAGTCTTCTCAGCTAGTCTTCTAAGAAATAACTAAGTGGGTAGGTTAAAAAAAAACTCATCGGATTTCGGCCACTTTATTTTCAGGAGGCCCCCTTTTCAGCTTTTTAACTTTTTAACTTTTTATTTTATTTTTGAAAAAAATCGGCCAAGGGGGGGCCATGGCCCCCATGGCCCCCCCCCTTGTATCCGCGCCTGATTCAAGGTCAGGTCACCAGGTCACTTGAAGTGACCTCACCTCATAAAAAGTTTCAATGTCTGTCATATAGCTACACCGAGTGACTGATCGCTTTGAAACTTTCAGCGATTGCTAAGAGCAATAGCATGTACAAAATGTATATCTCAGAATTTTGATTTCGATGACCTAAGGTCAGGTCAATTTTGCGACCTCCCCATTATAAGTCAATGGGAGAAAATTGAAATGCGCCTCTTTTGGACGAAAGACATTATAAACACTCCCAAACACCGAATTACAAGTGGTTTAGACACACTGAACATGAAAATGGTGTCCGTGACCCTTGTTTGTGCCCTGAGGTCATCTTAGGTCACGAATGGTATCTAACAGTTTTTCGCAAACAACTTTTGATAGAGGCATGCTAGAGCGATGAAAACGCCTTATATGTGTTCAGCTCGACGATACGGATCGACTGATATGCAACATGATCCTTTCCGGTCAGGACATGACCTTGACCTGAGGTCAAATTTTCAAGTTGACCTTTCAAGGTCAAGTTATAGTTCATTCGATGCGTCTTGACGAGAGGAACACGATGCCGGTGAAAGTAAGCTCGTACAAGGCTTGGGTCAAAAGTTATTACAGAAAAACTTTCCGAAAAAAAATCGGCTATTTTTGCAGTTTTTGCGCCCTGCAAGCAAAACCGTTGACGTTAGGTCAAATCTGAGGGAATTACTCAGAAAGGGCGTTAATAGGGCTATCGAATGCACTTTTCCGCAGCGCTGTAGCTCTATTGGTTCCCGAGTTATGCGTTGGCTTCTTGGAATTTTTTGACATTTGACCTGGAAATCGGCGAAATTTTGCCTTCAATGACCTCTGGTGACGTCAACTTTGACCTGACCCAAAAATTGACCGAAGTGATTTCGTCATTATTTTTTACGCTCTTTCGAACGTTGCCTTCCGCGTATCGCTACGTGGCCCAGGAGCCGAGTTACAAGGGCTCTGGCGTGTTCAAACACCCCCCAGCAGGGCGTGGAAATCCAGGACCCCCAGCCCACTATGGTTGGAAACGGCCTTACGGATGGCCGGGGGTCAACGCGAAAAATGTTTTGCCCTATAACTTTTTAATGCGTGGACCGATTACGATGAAACTTTGCATAGGTATACCAGTGTCTTTTGTGCATCATACAGCAACTCAGAAACGACAAGGTCCCGTCACGTCACGCATATGTGACGTCATTATTGCAAGCATGTTATAAGTCGCCTAGGTCTTTCGTAATGTCATCGATATAGCGAGGCATTTTGAACATGTTTTGAATACTGCTATACTGAATGGATATTGTTGTTATGCTTTAGGGCGAGAAATATCAACGTAGTGACGCACAGTGTCCTACTATTTGTCATAAAGGGTCAAAAGTTTGGAGAAAAAGTATAAATGATTTTTTTTTTTAGATTGGACAAAAAGGTAAGAAATAAAATGACGATCAAAATGACAAAAAATGCGTCTGATTAACCCGGCAGTTGCTGGGGTATTTCCCCACCCGCCGTTTGCCGGGGGGAGGGCGTTCAACGCCCCCAGCCGATAACTCGAGAACCAATAGGCGCAGCGAAACGCACGAGGCGGCAAACGAAAGAACGCGAAGAGACAATTCAGATGAATACTTGAAAGTTGAATTTCGAGGTCACCGGTCGGGTCAAGGTCAGGTCAGACACTTGAAATCAGGCTTTCAGTAGCATGGACTTTAGAACCTCGCAATCGGTGCCTCTCGCCATAAACTCTGTCACAACTGTGCACAACCCTTCATATAAGTGCTAAAAGAGTGTCAGATCCATGTAGGGGTCAGTCAAACATAGGCCAGGGTCAAAGTCAGGTCAATCAGGTAAGCACATAACCCCGAAAATTAAAACTGGTACCTATTCGTAGCCCACGACACATGTTTTATGGATACTTTTGGGCGTAGAACACGATGGTGACATTCATTTTATCATACGAGTACGTGGTTAGTTGAAAAAAGATCAATTTCAGAAATGCATGCATCATGGTCGTGAAGTAGTCACGAGAAATTGCCAAGATTCAGTTCAAGATTTTGGAAAATCTAGAACGATGATCAAAAATCATAGATAGCCATTGGATTTACCATGGTATTGGCAGTGTAATGGCGTTTACAGCATGTCTGTATGTCTGTTCTGTCAGTGGATATCCATATCCATACTCCAGGATATCCATACACGTTTGCACGATATCCATACTCCAGGTGCAGGGGCGAGCAGTTACTTCTTACGAGGGGGCGGAGTCGAAGTCAGAGTCGGAGTCAGAGTCGGAGTCAGAGTCAAAGTCGGAGTCAGGGTCGCCCAGAGTCGTGGCAACGAGCCAGGAGTCGGAGTCGGAGTCGGAGTCGGTCAGGAGCCCGCAGTGGAAGTCGGAGTCGGTCGAAATCGGAACAGCTCCATCACGACTCCGAAACACTGGCAGGGGTCCGGAGTCGGAGACGGAGTCGCCCGGAGTCATGGCAACGAGACAGGAGTCGGAGTCGGAGTAGGAGTCGGATTTGGCGCCACCTTGACTTCGCAACCCTGCTTCTTACCATCATTTATTAGGATAAGCCATTGCACGACTGACGAGCAGACCTGCTACTAACGAAGCGACGGGTAGGTACGCCTCGGGAGATGAAGCTTCATGGACGATTTTGCGCACAAGTGCGCAGTTTGCTTTTAGGTTCCCCTCACACAGAATTGAACAGAGACTTATTCTGCCAAAAAGCTCAATGGAGGTCGATGGAGAACTTTTTGTATGTCCAATGAAACATAAACGTAATTTTGCAAATGTTGCTGTGGTGACACTGCAAACAGAATGCAATGCCGTTCCTGATTTTGAACACACATGGGAAAAAGAGTCACTCCACTCGATAGCCAACATAACAAGGATTATTTTGATATATAATAATCCAGTTTTACAACGTCATTGAGGTACTCCACATGCAATCGCCAGCGCGGTTGTTTAAACCTTTGACGGCGCACCAATAAGGCCACTATCAGAAACTCCCGATTCCACGCACGATAATGAAGACTAAATGCGCAACTAAGTATTTTTTTCTGCCCAATTCAAAACATTTCATCAATTTCCAACAGAATGACACCCCAAATATACATATATTCCGAAATTGCCCATGGCCATCCGTGAGGCCGTTTCCAACCATAGTGCAGCCGGGCGCGGGTTAATAAATCTATAAAAGGACAAAAAGTTCACTATTCGTCTTTGCCATTTATTTCCAACTACATTTTGTTAGCGTGTCAGGGTATGACAACGGGAATGCGTACACCTACAATTATACATATAGGTAAAAACACTAGCGGACCATCCGTCGCATGTCATCTAAATTTTATAGCTAGCTTACGCTGTTAGCTAGCATCAATTAAAACAATCGACGGAAATTAATCGGTCTGTTTCAGCGTGGCATGAGTTCTGAACACACCGGTTGACCTAGCTCATTAAATTGCCGGTCCAAATTCAATTAAAGCCCAACTCCATTCCTTAGCCTTTGCCGGCACAGGTGGGAGGAGGGTATGCACTAGAGTTGCAAAGTTTTCCCAATGGGCTGCTACCGGCACCGCCCCGCCCCACAAACATTTTCTGGGATACCGGCATGCTACCACGCCTCAAGCAAAAAAAACCGCCAAA